TGAGCTGATGAATGATCCACCACCGAGTAATTTTTACAACAACATAGAAAACTTCCTACCTGGTAAGCATCAATCATTTTCCTTATTTTTGCTTACATCCATATTGTATGTGCTGGTTTGTTTCACTGCATCGAAAAAGTCGGATTTCAATTGTCCATTTTTCAGATTTCGTTCTGATTATAGCTCACCAGTAGTACATAGCCACCGTACTCGCACATGGACGTCGTGTGTATTACCACAGTGTCAGTAGTTATCGATTAAGGTTTTTTCAGAATTAGCCTTTACTGACAGTCATTCCGGGAGTTTGATCCGATAGCAACGAGGGGCGACAGTAGGCTATCCGCTAATTTTACTCAGAAAGCTCTCATAAAACCAAGTCTTCCATGAAGAAAACACCGTAGCGAACAAAGCTTGTTTTCGATAACTTACTCATAGGGCTAATACGGTTGTATATAGGGTTCAAAATTGTCTAATTAGTGTAATCGTCAGATGCGATGAATATAATTGGTTGGTTGTGATCTTGTGATGTGTGGTTTGGAAATTGTATCCTCGAATATTCAATAAAAGGAAGTAAAAAAGTCAAACAGTCGAAAGTCAAATGAGAGGGCAGTATTTTTATTGTTGTTGTTGTTGTTGTTTTGTGGTTCAGAAATGCTCAGTCGGTAGACAGAGTGAGCCGTTCCCATTCCGGTCTGCACCCCTGGGTCATGACAAATTTCACGGTCGTTTCGGTCGGCTGCATCAGGTTGGGGCCAGGGTAAGCGAAGTGACTGAACGAATTGTGTTTCCAGAACAAAGGGATGGATTGAATAGGCGTCATCGTTTGCTTGATGTCCCGTGTCTGCCAGGTATTCTACGACTGCACTTGTAATCGTCTTCCATGAAGGTGTTCAGGTGTATATCCTCATTCTTCGTTCAACCCATTAACGAATTTCGTGTGAAACTGTCTGCAGTGACATTTATCCTATGAATTACAGTTCTGACGAAATAGTTGAAGTAAGTAGTCCACCGCACAGCTCGTCCCCTGGTCAAAATTATGATAGTGATCCGCGAAGATGACAAAACGACACAATTTCGATGAATTCGAGCGAGGATTGTTCTACGTCAAAATTTCGAAATTGTTGCTACCACTAGTTCCTTCCATTCAGACTAGCTCCTGATTTTACATTTTGTTTGTTTAAACCATCTTTTAGAATACGTTGGTCGTAATCAGTTACTACCCACTTATGACTACTTGGTCAATCGAATTCGTAAATTCGACACGAGCACGTTGATTTTCTACGAACCGCTGGCTTTCGGAGTGTTCTTCCCGGACAGCAAACTGGACACAGGGACCGGATTCGATCGGGTCCCCGGTTTGCTGACAGATCCGAATGCTGCCCAGAAGAGTGTTCTATCTTATCATGGTTTCTGTTGGATTTTACAATCAACAACGGACAGTGAGAGTATGACTTGGTGGAGTAAGATCGCCTGTGATTACGTAAGTGAACAGCGTTTGAGTACTGACTACTGCGGAGATTCTTCATGCCTATTGTCATCATCCAGTCAACTGGTGCATACCAAGGAGGGGGTATCAAGTGTCCGATGAAAGTGTCAAATCAACCCCGTTCAGGACGACGGTGGTGTAAAGCAAGCTGTTGCGAACCCTCCCCAGTGGTCCTCAGAGAGTAGTATCTGGATTCATAGATAATTGTCTTATTTTGATCATCAGTGGGTGATTCACGGAGAAGAAGAGAACAGAATGAAAGGGTGATAGTATTGTACGAAAAGTTTCATTCTTTAGTGGAATAGTGTCAATGCATGGTATAATTCCTTTCTACTGTGCATATGTGCAACCTATCTGTGTAGAATTTATGTGTGTAACTAATCGGCATTTGAATTTCATTTTCATACTTGATTACCAGTTCATCCAGTCAAAAATGTACTCAGAAAACACCAAAATAGAGTGTCTGCTCTCATGACAGCTCTTCAGTAAAGTACACTAATCGGTCCATCCAGGTTTGGAACTCCAGGTCAATCTATTGCATTTCACGATGAAATGCTTCTCGGGGAATCTTTTTCAGTCATTCATATACTACTTATTATATGTACATATACCAACACATAAAAAATAAGATTTTCAGCAGTGATTTTCTTAAGCTGTTTTGTACAAACTGGAAATGACAAAAATTCACATAATAAATAATGTATCCGTTTTGTTTATTGTTCGTTCAATATTTGATCTTGAGAAATTAGACCATCGTGTCATTTGCTTTTTCAACGATTTGCGGCAGATCCTGACACCACTGGTGTTCAAAAATACTCAAAACTCAATCCAGAGAACTGGAGGCGGCAGATTCCTCACCAGTTTTAGTCAGTGTGATCAAGACGGACAGTGGAACTCCTTGAACAGAACCGAATGCGATACCGTGTTGAACAAGGCGGACGAGCAATTCCAGTCGTGGACCTATTGGGGAGGGAACCTTTTGGACAGCTCAGGCAATCCAATCGCGAACCAGGTAATTTTTCTCCGGAGACAGTGCACAGTTTGTTGGTCTTTGAGCGTTGTTCGGGAACCATGAAAAAATCCAGATCAAATACAACATGAAAACGTGGAGCCATTCAGTTGGTTGGGGAAAATTAACTACTCTGGTTTTACTTCAGTTTTGATTTTAGTAATTTGTGAAGTCTTCCATTGTTGATAACCGCACCATTCCCAAAAAGATACGAGTGATAGAATCTGTCATCATTTGCTATGGTTTCAAGTGGATACTATAATTAAAATACTATCGTTTTTATCATGAAAATTTGTTTGATTTTCCTTCTTACTATTTTAAAAATGATTTTGAACTGTAACATTATTGTCAAACTACATGTAAACATTGGTTACCAAGCGATATCAGACTGATTAGATCCATCAGTTCCTTCCAATATCTTTGATGTTGGCCATTTATTTTTTCTTGATCTGAGCTGTTCATCATACATCGGAGTGAATACCGGGTCGTTGGCAGTCGGCATTCATTTATGATGTAAATAGACAGACAGACTGGATGTAATCAAGAATCTGCCAAAGCATCTTGGTTCACTTAGCATAAACTCCGGAAGCATTATGGATCCAAGGTTTATCTCACTAGTAGTAAATATGCAACAGTGCACCCAGTTTTGGGGTTCAGAACTATTGACATCCAGCGTGTGTGTATTACTAAGTTGTCGACCAGATTACACAGATATTGAACAAAATTATTGGGTAAGCTTATATTCATGTCGTCTTCAAAGAGTTAACTAGTTATTTTGTATCGAAAGACATCTAAGAAATACAATATATCTATCTGGTAACTCAAAATGAGCAAATGAGCCCCATCAAGCCGTCTGGGTCAGGTTAAACTCACAATTAACTCACAGTGAACTGTGAGTGTCGATGACGATGCCATGAGATATTTAGTCAATGTCTTGTGTAAGTGGATAAATACACGACACAATCCGAGGATCTCAGCGTCGAAAATTTGACCCTGCAACGAGGAATCAGCCTGATTGATTACACAAACAGAGAGAGAGAACAAAGGACGTGGTTATAACTTGTGGGTTGGAGTCAAGAAATTTCGTCGACTGCCGGAAGAATATATGGAACAAAAAATGTAATCACATTTTATGTAAGAAGTATTTTATCTTGAGAACGATGAAGCAGTTAGTGGTTTCTCATCGCATGTTTAACAATAGAAGGAGAGGTCACGGAGCACAACAATGGACTCTGCATTGTGGCAGTAAAAGCTGCGTACAAACTGTTGAACTCTGCTTGTTTACCGACCCAGAGTCTTTCATGGAACCGTGAACTTTCCATTTCGGTTTCTTTGCTTTGTTCTGTTCACCCGATTTGCCTTCTACCCGTGTCGTTCTCGGACTAGAGAATCTCTGAACTCGGTGTTCAACTTGTGAATGTATACCAGTTTTACTATCTTGACATAACAGTGGTTTAATCGTCATTATTCACGTTAAAATCATGAATCGGCTATCAAGGCTAAGCACATTAAAAACACATTAAATTGAATGTAGATAAAAATCACTACAGCGAACCAGTAGCTACATTGTTTGTATCACATGTACAATCCGTTTTGCCACTTATTTCAAAAACTCCACGTTGTTTCATTCACCCCCAGATCAAGTTCTTGGTACGTCCGTACCCAATGGCCACCAGAGGTTCACCAATCAACCTCAGTTTCAATCCCGAGACTGGCGAATTTCGCTATGAATTCAGTTTGAACACATCTGGCCTGTGGGCGAATGATTCAGTGGCTGTGATATTTTTGCCTCTGAAAGAGCACTACGCGGCTGGCGCCTTTGTTAGAATCAGTCCGCAGTTGATCAAATTTGTGCTGGAACGGAATCGGTTGAGATTGTGGACTAGCCTCGGTGGCTTGATCGGACAAGTCAATGTTACCGTGACCATTACACGTGGCTGTCCACCGACAAATCAAAGCACCACTCTATCTCCTTTATCTTCCACTGCGTCTTCACCGTCTTCCACTCTGTCTCCTTCGTTTTCCACTCCAACTTCCACTTCTTCTCCCAACCCATGCAAGTAGACAGTACAAACTGTTTAAGTGAATAAACATTGACAAATCACACAAATTCCATCCATAAAACAGTCTTATTTCATTCCTTTAATTTGTGATTGTTTAAATTTGATTTCCGTTCAATGTTTATTGTTCTCGCCGAATGCACTGAATTCTTGAAACGTGACTCAACGTTTTCAACTGACTAATCTGGAGGAATCGGGACTGGGTTTTATTTTTGAAGTTTTGTGTGGAGTCCGACCAAGGGGACTGAATGGTGAACTCTCCGGCTTTTGGTCTAAAGCCTTTCCCGTAGGCTACCTGGAGAAAAGCAAACACCTTGGGGCCCCTTGTTACATTGCTTACTTCTGTTCTGATTTATTCACATGAGATGCACATCTATCATGTAGTTCATGGGTATTGAGTCTTGGTTACTAATCTGAAGGTGATGCTGATAAGACATAACAAGCACGAAAAAGCAGTCCCGATGCATTTGTCAGCCTGGTGTGGCCTTCGGTAGACGTCGGTTTCCAGTTGCTCATTTTCGGTTCGTTTGACCAATACGTTCAGAAAGGATAGCTGTCCGCTCTGTTCTTTCTCCAAGGTGGACTTGATTCCAGCGAACAGATTGTTGATTAAGTGTTGCGTCTATTTCAGTTGGCTAGATTTCAGGATGACAAAGATGTCATTAACTAGCTTGACCCACAATTTCGGGTTGATGATAGGAATTACAATAGTCCCCAATCTCTGCATAACCGATTCTGAGATGAGTCCTGAATTTGGTGATCCTATCGGAGTTCCTCTTATTTGTCTATTGAATTGGAAATACGTGTAAAGACAGATCTAAAAGTTCCAGGAGGTTTCGTTGTCCGATTTGGTTAGTTGTTGGATTGTTACTGTCGACGCAGCCATAATTTGTTTCGCCAACCAATCGAAACCCTCAAACAGAACTGTATAAGCCCGATCCTATTGAGGACTGATGGTTCCCCTAGCTTGGCTACGAAACGTCTGCGAACAACGCTTCCAGCTCGCAGAACTCCCCAAAATCAACATCAAATAAATCATTGTTTCAGATCATTTGATGAAATTTCCACATTGACATTGTTCTCCTAAATAAATTAGTCTATGTCATTATTGGTTTTATCACTTTTATGTTTGTGAATAGCGATATAATACCAAATGCTTCCAAGTTTCCTCAAGGTGAAAGGAAAACTACAAGTATTGATCGAACTCATGCAACATGACTCTGAAAAGAGAAATATTTTTCAGCTCCAAATATCGTACCCATACATTGATAACTACTGGTATAAAACATTTATTTCGAACTCTACTTTCTATTGTAGTGTTTTCAGCTCTCCTGTTTCGCGATTTGAATTGGCGCGACCTTGGTTGTCACGATAAAAATTGCAGTAGTTCTTTTCACGAATAAAGTTTTATCATTTTCCTCCACAAACGTTCGGTTATCTTACAGTCGATGCGTCAGCAACCATAGTCGAAATAGAGAAATTGTACTTTTCTGATGGGCTCGGCCAAAGGAAGGAAGTTATTACTATTATAAAAGGTTTGCGGGTGACCCGGGGTAAAACCATGCACATTCCCGTGCATGAGAATCAAAGCGTTTGGCAATAAGATAAATAGATTCGGTAAAAGTCACGATGTTGCACGAATTGGTTATTACCTGTATATCTGGAAATTGCGCAGCCAACTGCTTCCGGTAGGCTGGGTTACCCAGCCTACCACTTCACTTGTGTGTGATACGGGAAGTTAAACATAATCAGAATCGAACTCATGAAAACTCTCTCTCAGGGTTCATACCATCTACAAATCGTTGTCCCCTTTCATCATATACGCTCAAATTTCAACTCATCAATTATTCCATTTTCTTCAGTTATCCAAATTTCGTCCAGATGAAATCCCTTGATCTGAAAATTCCAAATCTTAAAGACAAATAGATGCTGCCGCTTGGCGTTAAGTCACTATTCACCAACGCAAAAATAAATGAAACCATTAATTATTTTGGCTCTTGCAAATGCTCGACTTCAGTTTCTCGATGAGTTTATGTTACGCTTGGAATAAACCAAACAATGACAAAGTGCATTCAGGAAAAATCCTGTTCTAACTACTGTTGTCTTTACCTCACCAAGTGTCTAACAAACAGTATATCGCATACCAAGACCACTAATGCGTTTTCAATTCGGCGATTAGTTGTCTCTTTTCATTGCTTCTTTTCTATGTACTTATTTTATCGCTCCTAAGGAACGGTGTTTATTGGGCCCCTGAATGTCACAAACCACTCTTCGGTAAATGCCCATCCACCGTCGGACGGTTCCACAAATTATTTTTTTTGATTGTGGGAATTCTGAAAACTTGCCCCAAATGAGAAATTTCATTGTGCTTATGGCAATTTTTAACGATTTCCTTACTAATTGTTTTGGAAAACATAAGGGAGGATTATGTTGGTGGATTCCGATGGCTTCCTTTATGGTCAGAACACAACTCCCATTTCCCTTAGATTGATATTTGAGAACTGAGTAGATGGATTGAAACGCCCCGGGTGCATCAATCACGTGATTTGACTCCACTAAGTGTGAAACGATTGAACTGTTGATAATCCTAATCACCCCACTATTCAACTAGGCCGGTTGGTACTCTAGGACTCGTTCAGATAAACGTCTGCTGGTGTGACCAATATAACTAGTCCCACAGGAAGAAGTAAACAAGTATACACAGAAAGAAACCACAGAAACACGCAATTTATCTTTGAGTTCAAGTGAGAAATGGAGGATTTGATTCAATTTCAAAGGTGAATTCTAGGAAGCACTGGACAGCTGTTTCGACCTGGTTGGGTCTCATCAGCAGTGCGAATCCATCGACCCAACCGGGGATCAAACCCGGGACCTCATAGGCAGAACGCAAGCATGCTACTCACTCGGCCACCGGGCAGCTGCTCAAACTGTTTTTCATGTTCCATTTGAAATTTAATCAAATCCTCCATTACTCACTCCAGATCAGTAGTCGTGAAAGTTTCCAACCGCGTCAGCACACTCCAGCACATGGGACGGTTCTCCGTCCCGTTAGAGTCGCTTGGGGACGATAGAAATAATCATAGTCCCTTTAGAGTCCCATTAGGGTCCAAGAGGAACTCTAATTTTCACAGTCCCGCTAGAGTCCTATTAGTGTCCCGGCGGGACTGTTTAGAAAACTGTAGTTTTCTAAACATACATGTATAACCAATCATATTTCAATAAATAAGACTGTTTTCTTTCCCATAATTCTTAGATAAGTTTGTGTAATAAAATCCATTTAATATAATTTTTATACTACGACTTATTGAAAACCGTGCATACAAAATAAAATGTTATGTTAATTTTTTTAATACATCAATTACATTTAATTCAGTTAGCGCGGCATTGTGCATTGTGAGTTAATCCGACACGCAATGAATGCATTGCTACATCCTTCAATATCGACGGTGATAAACTGGAAGAGGAAGTACAACAAGGTATGCCTGGAGCACACAAGCGTGGCGTGTGCAGTTGTTGGTAAGCGTTTTTGTTAGAGTAAAACCGTATTTTTTCATTTTTTCAGAATGTGCAATGTAGAAGAAGTTTCCAGGGGAAAATAACTCCAAAATGCACGAAAGAATTCAACAGTGGATCCAAAAATCAAGAAAAAAAAGTGTTATCGTCGAGACAGTAACAAAGAAAACGTAGCACTGTACACCGATGAGCCAGTGCCTGTTGACATTGACGAATAATTGTATATTTTTGCTTAAACATATATATGTTTACCATTAAATCGTGTTTTATTTATGCCTAGGGACGGTTTTATTTACATTTATATTACGGTTGTTCCATTAACAACAGAAAGCGAATTTGCGGTTTCCGTGTTATAATGGCTACTGAAGCATAAGAGATCTGTTTTCTGAGAGGTGTGAGTCGTCTTAGAATTTTTATCCGCCGGAAGCATTTATCCTCGCGGAACTTCCTTTCTATTACTATTCCAGCTATTGCCCCGGGAAATAATTGTGCATATTATTTCCGTGGAATGTTTGAAGTACGTGTGCACCATGTAGAAAATACGATATAGTATTTCCATTCTAGTCCGTAACAGTCCCATTTGAGTCCCTTAGATTCCCATTAGAGTCCCTTAGAGTCCCATTAGAGCCCCTTAAAGTCCGATTAGAGTCCTATTAGAGTCCTACATGAGGGGGTCCAATTAGGCACCCAATCAGATTGCGTGGGGCCCTAATAGGACTCTAATGGGACTCTAAGCGACTCTAAGGGACTCTAATGGCACTCTAATAGGACTCTCAAGGGACTATAAAAGGACGATGGCGCTGACAGGGAACCATGCAGGCTAGTGCCGAGATGAGCAGGGTCTGTGGCTCTCAACAAGTTCGCAAATATGGGTTGTGCCATAACGTGTAAATGGAAAATGAAAAAAGGTTTGATCAGCTGCTCGGTGGCCGAGTGAGTAGCATGCTTGCGTTCTGCCTATGAGGTCCCAGGTTCGATCTCCGGTTGGGTCGATGGATTCGCACTGCTGATGAAACCCAACCAGGTCGAAACAGTTGTCCAGTGCTTTCTAGCTTTTCAGTTCACGCTTCATTTGCTACAAAACTTGCGGTCAGTTTTGTTCAACGGCAAGGGCTACATAGAACCACACGATCAATCGGGACTGAGTTACGCAATCCCGCGTCAAGGATGTGACCAACGTTTCGTAAGGGATGCAGGCAAACGACTGTACACTCACCTAAACGAGCACACTCCCACTGCGACACGCTTAGCCGAAGTCAAAACTTTGGAACCATTGCACAACGATAGATCACGAGGTCAGTGCAAAAGTAGTGGCAAGGGCCAAGAGAAAGGGCGTCTGAGGCTTCATTCGAACAACTCATTCAATCGGCACGTTGAAATCGGTAAACGGAACGATTGTACGACCAATGAATAAAGTGAGATTAATGGACAAACAGATGCGACGCAAACCACAGCGCGAGGTACACGAAGACCCCAGTAATTCAAACACAC